CGGAGCCGGCAGCAGCCAGGCACAGCTCCTTCCCGCTGCGGGCGGCAGCAGCCACCTTGGTGCCCCCGGACCCAAGTGCCAGGGGGTCACCGATTTACAGAGCCTCAGCCCATCCTGAGGACGAGTCTGAGTACCGCTGTGTGTTCCACCAAACAGCGGAGAGGATGCAGAGGGCCATGGGGTCCACGGAGGTGGACTCGTCCCCACGAAGCTCGCTTCTCCCAACATCAGTGCATCCGACCAGGTCACCACCTATAGCTAAGGACAAATGCACCCAGACCAAATTTGTGCCCGAGCTTCTGCACCACGCTGAAAGCCACCGCAAGGACGTGCATGTCTGCTACCCCTACCGGAGCCCGGCGCTTCCCCATCCTGAGTTTGTCTCCAGGGATTTACCTGCGAGGGCTTTGCCCAAGCTTGGCCCTGACTCAGCGTGGTGGTCCTTGCTCCATGCAGACACGGAGTGCATGGGGAGCCAGGCACGCACACGTCTCGAGTCTCCAGCAACAGGCAACATGCTGAGTGCTGCTGAAACCTTCTCTTTGGAGACAGACATGTTCATAGAGGTGGTGGCCAAAGGCACTGCCAGCCCCGGCAAAGACATGGACAAGCCGATGTCGCTTGGCAGAGCATCTGCCACCATCCTCCTGCACGAAGTGAAGTCCGAGAGCCTCAGCTCCAGCTGTGAAGCCGAAGAGATGGTCAAGCCCTCCACGGAGACAACGGCCACCAGATTCAGTGCATTTTTTGTGGGTAAGTTTGAACAGGCAACCGGAGTCACCGGGGCCTGCCCAACAGCATCGCTGCGTGTCTTGGTCCTGCACTGGTGGGTAAAGGGGTGCAGCTGCTCTGCTCAGTGCTGGCTCTGGCAAGAAGAGCGTAGGGTGCTCGGTCCCCAGGGGCTCTAGGGCCTGGGCTCGTTGTCCCCACATGCAATAGGGTGTAACCCCAGCCCCATCCTCCCTCCCGGCACCTCTTTATCCTGGCTGGGGGTGGCTGTCCCCCAGGACCATCTCCATGGCATCACACAGGAGGTGGCGGCAGGCTCCCGGCATCACTGGGATCCTCTGAGGGAGGTGACAGCCACCACCGTGTCTCGGCTCGCCGCCCGCTGTGGGTGCAGGACAGCGCCCGCACAGGCACCAGGCTGCTGCGGTGGCGAGAGGAGGACCCGGCCTCCGGCCGTCACCGAGGGGAGGCTGCGGGTGCCCATGCGCCGCGTCACGCTCTGCCCCGATCCTGGGAGGATGGAGCATTCTGCAGTTAGAAACACATTGCTGCCTATAGCAGCTTCGGCAAAATAATCCCTCTGGCTGAGTCTCTCGGAATAGCAGGAGAATGACTGCTGTTTTTACAGAGACGGTTGGAAGTTAAGTAATATCATGCTGTACCGAGAGTTACTTGGCGTGTTTGACACCATCACAACATCTTCCCCTGCACTTCCTTCCAGCTTCCCCCTGGGGACATGTTGCCTCTCAGTCTCAAACCTGCATTTAGCCTTGGGCACAGGCAGGAGAGTGACAGGCAGCAGGAGCAGGCCAGGAGGCCCCTCATGAGGTTCAACCGCAAAGAATTCCTGCAGCTGGAGCAGGAAAATGCTGTGCATGGGGCCAAGCTGGGCCCAGCCTGTGCAGCGGTGCTGCAGGACAGGGACTGGTGGTTACTGCAGGTGGCAAGGGCTGAGGGACTAATGCAGCCTGCACTGCCTGA